ATGTAGGAAGCTTTGGTCATACAATACCAAATGTTAGAAACTAAATGATTCCAATTACAAATGTGAGAGTCACAGACTTTAACTTAATGTTTATACTTACACTTTTCTCAATCTTAAGTTTTGTTGTCATACTTTGGTGAATAAAAAGTAATTGGGAATGTTGCAGAAACGGGTAGTGTGGAACTACACATGCGAGTGAATATCACCTTCATAACATAGCTCATCACTTGGAGGTTCGAGATTGGACAGAAGCTACTGGTTTCTACACTGTTAGAAGATGGCTTTGAGAAATGCAGATGCGCCACCAGTTTTGTTCCACCACATAATCCTTGTTGTAATAGGAGTGGAATTGGATATTAGTTGTGCTTTGATGTGATGAGCTATTTCTTATTTATTAGTTGTGGTTTCATGAATTAGTAACCATGAAACTAGAGTGGATAGAGAAACTGCATATGTATATGTTTAGCTAATAAGTAGTCTAGCAATATAAACTCAAGTTTATGTATTGCGTTATTATTGCCCTTTATTGCTTTCTTATTGTGCCTCTATTGTTGTCTTAACTCTTTTTTCACCTATGTCTGAACAATTATAAAGCTGAAGTTGGACTATCATGTTTACATATTGCCTTCTTGTTGCCCTTATATTGTGTCCCTATTGTTCTTCTATTGTTGTCTTGGCACCTTTTTTCCCCCTCTCTTTGCAATTATAGAGTTGAAATTGGACTCAGGTTTACGTATTGCCTTTTTATTGCACTTTTATTGTGTTCTTATTGCTCATCTATTGCCCTTTTATTGTGTTATTATTGCTCATCTATTGTTGTCTTAGCACCTTGGTTTTCACCTCTGTCTTTGCAATTATAGATTTAAAGTTGGACTATCATGTTTACGTATTGCCTTCTTATTGTCCTTCTATTTCTTTTTTTGATGAGAAAGGGAGGTTAAAAAACCCCAAAAGAGAAAACACACACAGATTACAGTACATTTATCAAGCGGGCCTTAGTAGCCCCCAGCGAATCATCAGTCAACAAGTTGCCAATCCAAACAGGACTTTCATCAAGGTACCAATATCCCATTGTCAAGGTTGTGGCTCAAGTAGCTAAACCATCTGCAACAGAATTCCTTTCTCTATAGATGTGTTGAATTTCAACCCTTCTAAACTAGTTCATGATTCTCTTGCAATTGCTAACCAGTCCAGCCGTAGGATGACAGTTATCCACCTCAGCATTCCGTAAGAGATTCACAGCAATAGCTGAGTCCATTTCAATAACAATATCATCAACATGTTTTTCCACAGCTAGCTTTAGACCAAAAAACAAGTGTTGTATGCATTAGCCATATTGAATTCAGATTTAATTGAACTTGGTGCAGATCAATTGCAAAGCTTGCAATATGACCTACGGAACTGGACTGGCAGGGGGCTGTAGCCAAAATGAGTTTGTCTTTTAAGGTCTTCATCCATTCATCCAAATTAGGCCTTAACATGCTTGAATTGCATGAATTATGCTCTCTTGCTCTATTTGCCTACAAAACACAGAAAGGGAGGCAAATAACTTAGAAATCTAAGAAACTAAGCAAAAGAAGTAAGTAAATAGGGCATGTATATGTATGAAATTATGAGCTTAACACACCCCCAAACGTAGATTTTGCTAGTCCTCGAGCAAAACAAAAGAAGGAAAAAAAAATAAAAATAAAAAATAAAAATAAAAATAAAAACAAAAAAAAATAAAAACAAAACAAGAAGTTAACTAGACCACTTTCGTAGGTAACTCG